ACATGTTCATGGTCGGGATTCTGCTGTTGTTCTGATATGAGCAAAGATTTCTTATCTATAACGAAAGGGGTTTGTAGGTGACGTCAACCACACTGTTGTTCAAGGGTAGGAATACCCGTCGTCGTTCCATCCGACAGGTACACATCCTCGTTATATCCGAATACTAGTGTGATTTTTGCAGCATACCACCATCCTTATTTCATTAACTGTGGAATATCCGTCGAGGCATCTGAAATTGAATCCCAGGACTAAGAACAGGACTAAGGAAGTCCACCGAGCTGTGAATTGGTACCTCGTTAGGATGAGAAATAACTCAATAACTCGGTGCGTCTAGTGGCTGCAAGAGTTGTATACTCCCCAGGGAGTTGAGACTGATAATACGATGTGCCGTTGAGATTGACATCCAATGATCGAGGGAAAAAAATACCAGCGCCTTGAGCATGCACTAGTTGCGCTATATAAATATCCTATAATAATAATAATAAGATGAAGTGATATATAAGGCTTGATTCACGGTCATGATGTAGCTCCAAGTGTATGCAGCACTCGAAACATTTTTGACCGGGAAGAGCTTCGAGTGAGTGAGTTGAGTTTTACGCCGCTTTTAGCAATATTCCAGCAATATCACGGCGGGGAACTGACATGTTCATCTTGCGGTCCTTCTTTTCCCAGTGAAACCCCTCGTATTTGTTCTCGTCACATAACCTTTTCCTCCGACTCGTACATACCCCGTGTAGACTATCAGCTTCCAAACTTGGAAATTTAAAGTGATATGCACTATCAACAAGATTGTTCAACAACCATGACTTGTTTGGCGGTATTGGGAACGTACCCCTAAAGGGTGAGCACGATGTACAAAGTTGCCGAAGTTGCAGTAAAATCCATCAATACCATTAGTGGAATCCTGCGGAGTTCCTGTGTGCTGATCGCACACCGTTACCGTAACAGCGTGTGTGTGAGTGAGTATGATTTTTATGCCGCTTTAAGCAATATTCTAACAATATCACAGTGGGGGACACCAGAAATGGGCTTCACACATTGTACCCGTGGGGAATTGAACCGAGTCTGCAGCGCGATGAACGGGCGCTTTAACCACTGGGCTACCCTACCACCCCGAAACAGCTGCACAAAGCTACGTTGACGTACTGCGAATATCTTCCTTGTACTGTGATGAACAATCGTGTGTAGTATTCGGATGAATGACTAGTACCTAATCAATAATCCGACCTTATATAACCAAAATAATCAAAGCAATCGTCAACTTCATGGTTGTTGGATAACCAACACAACAACTGCCAAGGAAAACTGCTTTTTTGTTTGTTCAGCATGTAGTTTAACGCCGCACTCCTCAATTATCCAGCTATATGACGGTGGTCTGTAAACAATCAACTATGGACCAGACAATCCAGTGATTGACATCATGAGCATCGTTCTACACAATAGGGTTACTATGACATGTGTCAACCAAGTCAGCGAGCCTGACAACCCGATCCCGTTAGTCACCTCTTACGATAAGCATGGGTTACTGAAGATCAAAACTCAAACCCGGACCTACACGGGTGTCGCCAGTTTGAAACTAACGCGGTAAAACTAGACAAGCAACGAAACCTGTAACTTCATCGGATAATTTTGCTGCTTATCATATGTTTAGTAGTAAGGTTGACATGTAGCTGTGCTGCGAGTTGCCTCCCTTAGATACGACAGGAACCTATGATTCTAAACCCGGTTCGACCCTGCTATGGTTCTTGGTTTGTCAGGATTATAACTCTACTCCAACGTCATACGCTAGTGATGAACATATTTAAGACACAACAAAGCTATGAGAGTGTAAAAAATGACAAATGTCCAGTTGCAAACTGTCAAACGTCTGACCTCTAACCTCATAATAATCAACATAAGACATAGATTCAATAAAGATTTATTAACGTTCCCGGGTAGGTGTAAACACCAGTGAACAAGATCACTTCAGAGTCCATACCGGTTCCGAGATATGTCAAAAACAAAGTCTTCCCAAGCACGTGTTGGACGAGCCTGAATATAGCTGAGTAAATAGCACTTTTTGACAACATGATTGCACGCGAATTCGTTGATAATAAAATAAATAAATGTAGAAATGTTTTAAATGTAAAACCGGTAGCCTTCTAGTAACATCAACACAACCGTGGCACAACTCTTTAGGATACAATAAGAGTGAGAGTCTCATTTCAATGAGTTTCGTGTTTGTCAAGTGTCAACACTATAGAAACAAACTGTACTGTCATTCAAAATGTTCCGAAATCTCCTTTCAACAATCTGAAATAACAGTTAGTATCAACCCGAACCAAACATTTCGATCTGGTTGCACATTTCTCTGTATCTCCGCTCTTTGAAACACAGCAATATGTTGTAGACTATAAAAATACTTCCACTTCTCTCTAGAAAAATAAGACGCAATCTTCTCCTATCTCCCCACACAGACGTCTCGCAGCAAGCTCTTTCCGTCTTCCTCTCCATGAACTTGTTTCTGTTAAGACAACAAAAAACGGGATATTTTGAAATATACATGAAATGTTTCGAGAGTGAGTGGTACGATGCAATAAATAAAGAAATACACGAAGCCCAACAACCAGATACTTTTAAGCCGGCTCAATCATGGGATAGGTAGATGAGGCTGTTCCTTAACGTAAATAATGAACAATTACATATTCGACCTGAGTGTACACGACCACCAAGTGTCCCGTTGAGTCCCTGAACCACAGGGGTTTTTTCCGCCCAGCTTTTTCAGTGTTGGTTAGTTATCGTTTAACACCACTCAGCAATATTTCTGCTTTATGGCGGCCGTCTTCGAATGATCCAGTCTGGACCAGACAACCCCGTGATTGACATCATGAGCATAGAACTACGCAATTGGGAAACGGTGACATGCATCAACCTTGTCAGTGAGCCGGACCACCTGATCCCTCCTATGACAAGCATGTGTTGGTGAAGACCTGACCCGGGGCCTCCTATGACACTGAGTTTTATGTGCAACATGGCGGGGACACCAGAAAGACCAATTAACCCGGATCTTCACGGATAAACACTTTATGTAACTTGCATCATTACACGTTCAAGAAGCAAGTGTAGAGTTTCGGAACCTCCTTTCATATCGAGCTGCTGTTCAATTAAAATTGAGTTGTTTGCTTCTATTAATTAAATTATCATTGTCAGAGATTAAGATATATTCTACCATCCTGAAACTTATCATATCTTAACCTACTTGTACGAACATATTTCAAATTCAGTGGAACAGTCTATTGTGACGAATCAAAAGTGGTGATCAATAAACCGAACATTCGATAATGATAATCAATATACACTTAACCGCTTACATATATGGAACAGGATACATTACCTTTCGATTCTCTTCATCAATATTTATGGAGGAGGAGGATGATACACATGGCAGACAGCAGCTGAAACACTGCACTCTTAACAGACACACAATGTCCGTATCGACCGAACGTGTAGCTCAAACCACCTTTGTCCGTTGCACCAATGGTCACACTTGGATCTTTGGTCAGTTCTTCAGGATTATCCTCATCATGTCCTATATTCGTCAGTGACCATCTCCTGACTGGATATAGTTTTGTCCGATCGGATAGATCCTTAAATCCAAAAGGAAATACAACATATAGACTGTCATCACTTTCCTTCTTTGGATTCGATTGTAAACCGAATTGAAAAAATAACTTTCTTAAACACACCATGGATGTCGGGCTCTGCATGTTTGGTATGTAACCGACGGTTTCAGACAGTTCTTGTTCAGTGTCCAGTGAAATATGGCTCGGACAACTGCCCCTCAGCTATATATCCCTGACCGATTTTACCTGTAACGTGGGCAGCCGTGAGGTCATCGTTCGCACTGGTCAAACTGCTGTTAACGCCTGACCAATGACGTCCAGAGACCGTGATCGATTTCCTCCATAACGCCAAACCGGACGCTGTGAGGAGCTCGTTATGTCATATTGTTTGTCGAGTAAGAATTACAAACTCCCAATTACGCATTATGTAATACCTAATACTGGCCACCAGAAATGAGGTGTGTTTATTGGTGTAAGGTCATTTACACTCAGGCCGCATTGTTAAGGTGTGCTTAATTCAACTGGGAGGAATGACCCCCAGGAAGGTAAACAAGGAATTCGGTCAGTTAGATTCTCCAGTATACCGACATTTTGTGACTACACTACTTGTAATATGAAACAGGATTATTGCGAACATTTCTGTTATATTGAACACCATGAAAACCGTTATTAATATTCTCAAAGTTATTCAAAGCACATGGGAGAGTTCCATTGGAGACGTTGTTGGTTTGGTTGGTTGACTTAAAGTTTAACTCCTCACTCCTCAGTATTCCAGCTATATGGCGTCTGTCTGTTAATATTTGAGCCTGGACCAGACAGTCCAGTGATCGGCAGCATGAGCATCGATTGACGTAACTGAGATATGATGACATGTGTCAACCAAGTCAGCGAGTCTGAATGGGTTACTGAAGATTAATTCTGACCCGGATCTTCACGTGTCGGAGACGTTAACGTTGTAATTGTTTCTTGCGTTTATTGTATGTTTGGGCGGTGGGTAGTCTAGTGGTTAAAGCGTTGGCTCGTCACGCCGAAGACCCGGGTTCGAATCCCCACATGGGTACAATGAGTGAAGCCCATTTCTGGTGTCCCCCGCCGTGATATTGCTGGAATATTGCTAAAAGCGGCGTAAAACCAAACTCAGTCAGTCAGTCAGTATTGTATGTTTCAGACAGTATTAATAATGAATGTTATCAAAATGGCAAATATGACGTAATTTCTGCTTCCAGGGTGAGTGAGTATGATTGCTTGAGTCATTTAACTAAATTCAGTATCCTGGCGGAGGATACCAGAAATGGGCTTCACACGTTATACCCATGTAATGATCAAACTTAGGTTTTCGTGACGCGTGATCCACTATGCTAACTCACCGCAGACAAAACGACAACAGGAGACTTGAAATGAGTGTGCTTGCTGCTAAGCAACGTTTATTAGTTAGAGCCACAGGATATCATAACCATAATTAGACACACTATCGCGGCCATTGACCGAGGACGCAGTGGTTCGCCTACACAGGAACTGAAATAAATAATCAATGTACTGCTCTAATATATATCTGATACAGTATATTTGGAATCAATTCACGCAACGGGGGACTGACCTAGAACCAAGTACTCAACGTCACAAATAATAATTGAAAATCGTTCACTTTTCTGTCGAATTTACCAAGGTGGATGGGGATTTGAGTCTTAGGGACCAAATAAGTGAGTGGTTTAACGCAGCTTGTGCAATATTTCAGTTATATGACGGTAAGTCAGCTTAATATGGGAGGAAACCCGGAAAATATGGGGCATGTCACTGACCTCTCAGACCCGTGAAGGTCCGGGTTAGAATATTGGCCTTCAGCAACCCATGCTTGTCGTACGAGGCGACTAACGGGATCGAGTGGTCAGGCTCGCTGACTTGGTTGACACATGTCATCGCTTCCCAATTGCGCAGATCGATGCTCATATTGTTGATCACGGGATTGTCTGTTCCAGACTCGATTATTTACAAGCCGCCGCCATATAGCTGGAATATTGCTGAGTGCGGTGTAAAACTAGACTCACTCGCACACTGACCTCTCAACATCGACTGAATCGTCTACGTTGGGCGAGGAACATGAGAATTACCAACGTCGCAATTTGGTACGATATCCATGACGTTGTGGCACCATGTGCACAATGTTTGTGAGTTGTAAGTCACAACCAAAACACTTTTCATTTCCACTCATTCATCTATTTATAATAACCAACTTTCCTTCTGGTGTCTCCCACCGTGATATTGTAGGAGTATTGCCAAAAGCGGCGTACAACCTAAGTCACTCACTCACTCTAGGAAATCAGACGAACGTTTATTCGGTTGTTATGTCCAGTTGCAAAATAATGCAATACAATTTGTTATGTCCTAATGCATAGATACGCAATGTAGCTATAATCGTATTCAATACCGCACCTGAACAATATCCGCAATATTTTTTGCAGGTCACGTGAGCCCTCAGAGTTTGGGTGGGATCGGTGCACACAGATTTTCCACTTGCAGCACAGTCGGGGGCGAGGTCCCTGCAGGGGAGTGGAGTCGGGTCTGTGAATAATCAGATATTTACAGACCTGACCAAACACTAATGATAGCTGTTGCCTAAAATTATACACGATGTATTTAATTATGACAACTAAGATTCATATTCGTATATTATGTGTAGGTTAGACAAGACCATGATTTGATATATTACTCTCGTTATGAAACTTTGACTTTGATAAGTCCCGATTTCCATCACAACCACTACAGCCATACCCCCCTCCATCCTCCTCCTCCTCTTCATCATCACCATCATATCCGCTAGCACCATCACCATACCATTACAACCACCATTAGCAACATCGTCTTCTTCATCATCATCGTCATCGTCACCACCACAACCCTCCTCCTCATCTCCATCGTCACGACCACCACCACTACCACCATCACCATCCTTCCCCCTCCTCCTCCTCCGACCCCAACCATCCTCCCCTCCTCTTCATCATCACCCCAAATCACCCTCTTCATCATGATTGTCATCGTAGACCCCCCCATCTTCATCGTCACCACCATGACCACCACCATCCCTCCCTCCTCCTCCCCCCACCATCCTCCCTCCTCTTCATCATCACCCCAAATCACCCTCTTCATCATGATCGTCATCGTAGACCCCCCCATCTTCATCGTCACCACGATGACCACCACCACCACCCTCTTCGTCATTTTCATCATAATCGTCATCGTAACCCCCCTTCCCTCATCTTCATCATCATAACCACCACCATCCGCCTCCTCTTCATCATCATCGTCATCATTAAGCTGCTTACCTGGGAGAGATGTCTTAGGGTGGTCAATTGCATACAGCTGCGCCGCTTGAACACAGACAGTGACAGTTAGAGACACATACAAAATAACGGTCTGATGCATGCATGAATACGTACAGTTTCGAAAGGCTGTCACGAAACATTTACAGAAGGTGTACCTTCAGCTGATTAGGTTTATAAAGTGTTAACATAATCCAGCTAAACCTAATATAATTTAGATGATCATGTATTTCTGTCTGAAAAGTGAGAAAGGGATCAGCTAACTATTCTTTGGTAAGGCAAATATTCAATAAATATTCTTTGGTAAGATCCAGACGTTCTAGAAACTGATTCTGATATAACCAAATCAGAAACAAGTCGTTGGAGAGGTTGGTGGGAATGCGTACTGTTTAAACCATTCGTTCGATTTCCCATATGTTCATTCTGTATGAATCTCATCACTTGGTAAGGCAGCAAAAGCCCAACTCACTCACTCACTCACTCACACACTCACTCACTCATATTCACGTATACTGCTCTATTGGTAAGGTAACAAGTTTGATATTTGCATGGATTATCAAGATAATGTAGCTAATGGGACTGATCTGTGAGACGTCGACATACACACATGTGCACTGACTTTAAGGATGTAATGATTGCAATAACCCACTCTGACACTGGACTTGAGATATACTATTCACACTGTGCAAAGGATCAAATCATTGATTCAACCGAAAACTATGATGTGGGGTCTAATTTGGTTTGAATATCTAAACTTATTGCAAGCATGGATCCTAGGTTTCAGTATGTCACTGCATCTTCTGGATCCCATACCTGTTATTGACAGGTGTTGTGTTCTTGTCATTGACCCGTTCCATGATTTGCAAAGTGGTTGATTGGTGCCATGAAAACCATTTTTATGGTTACTCATGTATCAAGTACATAAGGTTAGATTCAAGTGGCTGTTAGCCTAAAGAGGTGTCACCATGTCATTATTTATCCAGTTTTAAATGGATACAATTTCAAATTTTAAATCTATGTATAAGTAATGTTGTGATTTTTGTGATCCTTAGCAAAGTGTGAGTAGTATAGTTTGCTTGTTTGTTTTACGCCAATATTCCAGCTACTAGTATATGGAGGCAGTCTGTCAATAATCGAGTCTCGATTGGCACTCCAGTGATCAACAGCATGAGCATCGATCTACATAATTAGGATACCATTGCATGTGTCAACCAAGTCGTCGAGCCTGACCACCCGATCCCGTTAGTCGCCACTTACGAGCATGGGTTGCCGAAGACGAATTCCAACAAGGATCTTCACGGGTGACTTGAGAAGGTGTCTCAGTAGGGAGGGTTTGGGGCGGCTCTTAGCATTGTTACAACAATATCATCTTCATGACACCAGAAACAGTCCTCATACATTGTACCCTTTGAGGAATCAAACTCGGGTCTCAAGCCAGACAAGCTAGCACTGTAACCATAAGACGACCCTCTGTCTTCTGGATGAGAAATGCTTACGTGTACACTTGCGGCAGTAAAGTCGGCAGTGGTCTTCTACCCAGTACTTGTACTGGGGGTCACCACACGTGGAATCGTGGTCAAAATCGTCACAGTTGGCGATTTTGTTCCTGCAGGCCGGGGCGGGGGTCGGCAACCCTGAGGAGGAAAGTCGGAATGTTATGTTGACGAAATGAGTACCCTTCATCAGTCCATCCATCCATCCATCCATCCATCCATCCAGACAGACAAACAGACGGACATACACGAAATGAGTACCATTCATGAATACATACAACCATTCATCCATCCATCCAGACAGACGTACATACAACCATCCATCCATCCATCCAGACAGCCGTACATACAACCATTCATCCATCCATCCAGACAGACGTACATACAACCATCCATCCATCCATCCAGACAGACGTACATACAACCATTCATCCATCCATCCATCCAACCATTAGGACACATACGCATTCGTACACACCTACACGTCCATCACTATATCCATGAAATAATGACATTGTCAATTTCACCAGATATCATCAGCATGAATTCAAGACAGTAATTGTCGTCGCCTCTTATGACACGCACGCCAATATAATGTCTATTACGTTGTTGTTCAACGCCGCACTCAACTAATACGCTGTGTCCTCGAGTATTATATCAAGTTTATATCCCACTGATATAAGTAATAAATAAGTGCATATATATGTACTTGCCAGGACAGTAGCCGCACGTGTTGTTGCAGTTGGCTCTCGCCCAAGGTTCATAGATGCCATGACAGGAACTTACGTCATACAAGTGGCAGTCGGGCAATCTATCCACACATGCTGCAAAGTATGCGAATGAGAATTGTTTTACTCCGCAGTCACCATGGTCACCGCTATGTCACAACGGTTTGTTATTACTCGGACCTTGGAAAGGCGAACCAGTGTCTAATAAGATGAGCAACGATATGGTTTACACCATAGCCCCGTTTCTCATGGCGATCTTATCGTTGAAGTTAAATATGGTTGCACCTGACAATCACAACACGATGTTTCATGTTTCATGATTACACAATATTATATTATAATTTCTCATTATACAATCAAGAATATCCAACGTATATAAACTCATGCAAGTCGACCAGGTGCCAAGTCCGGACAGCGAATAAATGTTGGAACGTTGCCAACATGTAATCTCGGACCAATATGTACGGCTTGTGCACCTCAGCCCGGCGGCCCGAAACATTCTCACGACTTACGTGAACCGTTGCCTTGCGTAATAACATTTTAATATTGGGGTCACAAGTGGACGAACGTCCTTTAAATATCATCAGTATTTGACGTTTCGTATCTCTTGGCCACATTTGCAGGTCTATGAGGGGGCGTAATTCGGTCACACTGTAGTTGTGTGAATCCTAACTGTCCTTCTGTGGGATTTGCTGGTGCACTCAGTTCATAGAATAGTGAGGGAATAAGGTTCAACGCCACTTTGAAAATAATTCTAGCAATATCACGACAGGGGACACCAGGAATGGGCTTCACATATTGTACCATGTGGGGAATCGAACACGGTCCGTAGGTGTGACGAACAAACGCTTCCTATGCTACCTGCCGGTGTGCCGATAATAATAATTTCAGGGTGATAATTCGGAAAATCGATCAGGTTGAACAGACTTTACAAAACACTTTAATCATCACATGTTGCTGTCAAAAATAACATATTAATAGTTATTAGGAAAATATAACCTGTAAAATATAACTGTTGAAGATTCAGTGGCACGCGGCACGCAATGTTAACGTCGCATAAAACTAATTTCTACAAGTATATACTTACAACCCTATCGGTAGCTTACCCACTTGACAATGTGGGTACTGAATCGGCTCTGTACTAGATAACCCGATAGTACAGATACTATCACAGTGGAACACGACATATGGCTTCTGGTTTGAAAAGAATACAATTACCATATTGTAGAAAATACCACGTAGAAACACTTACTTGGATCAAACTCGGCACTGGTGGTCACGAAGAAAACAAAAATTGACAGCAAAACCAGCATTTTGATGTAGAGCAAACTCACATACAAGATGTTTGATTGCAAAGCGGATGTTTAGTCACGTGACATTCCGATTTGAGAGATATGTCATTTAAAAAATGGACAAGGATGTTATGAAGAAGATTTTAGACGAACATAAGATGATTAAATTCAACTTGATTGAAGTCACTGTCAAGCTGTTTCATGAGTGAGTGAGTATGGTTTACGGTGCTTTTAACAATATTTCAACAATAAATGGGTTTGATACATTCTACCCACGTCCGGAATCGAACCCAGGTCTTATGTGTCACAGGCAAACGCTTCAAACACTAGGCTACTATACAACCACCAAAGTGTGTTAACATTGGTTCTTGTGTCTGGCCGCTGCAGCATTCTGCCAGTTATGACCAACCAATCCACTGAAAGAAATCACGAGCACCGATCTACATAATTGTATTATATTTGAACTGTAATTATGGATATTTAGATAATCCTTTTATGTTATCTCATGCTAAGCGTTTGCTCGTCATGCCGAAGACCGAGTTCGATTCCCCACATGGGCACAAAGTGTAAAGCCCATTTCTAGTGTCCCCGCCGTGATATTGCTGGAATATTGCTAAAAGCGGCGTAAAATTAAACTCACTCGTTTTATGTCATACTCAAATTAAGTGCAGTAAGAAGATAATATAGAACCTTATATAGTTAATGTACGAAGTGTTTTGATTACTGGATTGACTGGTATTTCACAACGTGTCACCACCAGGGGCGTAACTACCATTATAAATAAAGACCGGGCTTACACATGATTTTTGCTAAAAAATCATTTTCCTTGTAATACTTGACAAAAATACCTACAAACACGTTATCAGAACAATTTAAAAATGTGAACCCCTCTTTGAATCATACTGACTACAATATTCTTTGATAGCAAAACATACAGTCACCATGTACAGTAACACATGTTATTCTTCATATCATAAATTTGAAAGGTGTCTCTCTTTCAGTGATAACCCGTGAAGATCCGGGTTAGAATATTGGCCTTCAGTAACCCATGCTTGTCGGAAGAGGCGACTAACGGGATCGGGTGGTCAGGCTCGCTGACTTGGTTGCAACATGTCATCGGTTCCTAATTGCGCAGATCGATGCTCATGCTGTTGGTCACTGGATTGTCTGGTCTAGACTCGATTATTTACAGACAGACCGCCATATAGCTGGAATATTGCCAGGTGCGGCGTTAAATTAAACTCACCCTCTCACTCACTCTTTCAGTGATGATTGTTTTTCCATCGACATGTATGTACGTGAATGTTTTGCTACATGATTATATGTGAATCATAACTGAAATGCAAGTATTTACAATCGCCATTCTTTGTTTACTCTTCATTTGATTTTCGTTTCATTTAGAAAAAAACACCCAACAAATACTCGATATATGGTATTCTATCAATGCAGTAAACATGCGTTAAAAATGTCTAAACATATGTGCATACGAGGAAGTCACATTTCCATCAAATGATTACTCTCTCTGAATTAATGTTAACCTACTCTGTGTTCTTATGATTTCAAAATATTGATAAAATAACAACACTTTGAAGTTATTAAAAGCATCAAACGTCAAACGATAACACTTCAAGTCTCATCAAAAAGTTGGCAAGCAAGCAATACTACCTAAATATATAGCCTTGCAACCTATTGGGCTTACACGAATGAATTGGCTTGCTACGCGCCTGACCACCTCCATGATATAGCGTTCATTAACATATTAAATTATCCTAATACGTTGTCTAGTTGCTCAATGTAACAGGTTTAGCACGTGTTTTAATTAATTTTGTATCTTTGAACGCAACAGCAACGTTTAACATAGATTATTATGTATTGTGCGTGAAGAGGTCACAGGGCTGGCTATACTATCTTATTCGACTGTAATCTGACGTCTCTGTCGTCCCGAGGCCGTCCGACAATTTAATCTTTTCGTCGGGACTCCAGCATGGGTCAGTAGTTCCTAATGACATGTTCTCAACACGATTCTCCAGGTTCGCTGTACCGACCTCCCGGATCTCAAAGGGTCAAGGTAAAGGTCAAGGCTGAGTGAGGTGACTTAATGCCGCCATTAGGAATGGTCCAACTATACCATGGCAGTATACAAATAATAAAATTCGGACCCGAATAGACATTTGTAGATTATATGAACACAGATCGGACACCTTCACAACTTGATGTACAATCTTGTGGTTTCATTGTGGCGACAATACTCATATAAATCGGCTTTAAAGCATGTACTGTGAACCCTATTTTAGCCCAGAATCCCAGAGTGTTAGAACGGTTTCATGTTTGTTTTAGCAATCAAACAAAATATTTTCCATTAAGCCATTATAACTATTCCCAGGAACTTTCGCGATTAATCTTTCTTTGATGTTTAGCGTTGCACTCAGCCATTTTCGCGCAATATCACGTCGATCAGTAAATAATCGAGTCTGGACCAGACAATCCCATGACTGAAATCATGCGCATCGATGTTTGCAATTGTGATATTGCAAATGACATGCATCTACCAAGTCAGCGAGCCTGACCACCAGATCCCGTTAGGCGCTTCTTACTACAAGATTTCACGGGCTTTATTTCGAAGACGGGGTGGGAATTGATCGATGGCTCTGTTGTCAAACAGTTGTCCAATCTTGTCGAAGACTTGGGTATAAATTCCCCAAATTGTTACCTCAAGTTATTTTCATTGCCCCAAAGGTGATATTGCTCAAATACCTCTTCATTTGGCGTCACACCTCGCATCTCGCGTAGTATCAAAATTAATCGAAGCGCAATACCAGGTCGATAAATGCCTTATCAATTGAGGAAATTATGTAGCAATGCGGTAACTATCCACATTTAAGTAATCGAGGTTCCACTAACAAACGAGTTGTTGATACTGGCAATACCTGTCTGTGCAGTGTATGCGTATGTACATGTACATAAGCAGAAACAAGATAAACAAAACAAAAATGCCCCCCACACCCCACCACACACACACAAAATATATAATAATATATAAAATAAAACAAAATAAAGTAATAAAGTGAAAAACAACAACAAAAAAGTAGAAACAATAAAAAAAACCAAAAGCAAACCTCCCGCCAAAAGAACCAACAACAAACAACAACAAACAAACAAACCCCAAAACCAACAACAATAATACAAAACAAAAACAACAACAACAGAAAAACCAACCCCAAATGAAACAAACATAAACAACAACATAACAATAAAAAGAACCAAAACAAACCAAACAAAAACGTAACAGGACAACAACAACACAGAAATAATTCGCATTTCAAGGCCGCTTCGGCATTCAAAGCTAAGGGTTTATTATCATCAATACCTCGTCCTCTCCTCGAGAAATAATGTCTAATGTCTAATGTTAATTTTTCACGCACAATGGACCGCCTCCGTGGTGTAGTGGTTAGAGCGTCCGCCCGGAGAGCGGAAGGTCGCGGGTTCCATCACCGACCGCGTCATACCAAAAAACGTTAAAATATGGTACTTGTTGGTCCCTGCCTGGCGCTCGGCATTAATGGGTACATCAAGGACTGGTCGGCTCGGAGTCAGTATAATGTGTCTGAGTGGGGTATTCATGCTTCACTGCGGCATGGTATCTCAGTGGGCTAGCACTATAAAACCAGCTTAAGTCTGGGCTAGTACAAGCAAACCGCACATACACATACACACGCATGCACATCGTCATATGAGCGAAATATTCTCAAGCACGACGTTAAACCCAATTTCACCTCACCTCACCCACAATGAATGAATGAATGAATGAATGGGTCGGGTTTATTGCCGGCTTCACGTACATCACGTCGTATCAGATCGATGCGGAAAGGCTCAAGTGATGCACGTCTTAGACCGTCACTATTTTAGTGAAGCATTAACTCTCTTCCGTGCAGACAAATTTGGGAACAAAAGGTTGAATCCAGCATTAGAGGTATAGGTGTCGGACAGACCACAGGACCTCCCCTGGCACCTGCAAGTATTGTTATAACTGCTTCTAATACAAAGCAAATTCTCCTATACGCCTGGCGAGCTTCCAGGCCAAGACAAGGATCATATCTCATCTACTCTGTACGCACGCAAAACCTGGTAGTCCTTGTATTCTGTGCTAGGATGGCTACAGGGTGGTCATACAGGAGATATCTCAAACCTGTAAGGTACGTACAATTATATAGAGAGTTACAATAGATAGTGTATACATGTATATACTTATGACATTAATATCGTTCGTGTGTGAAAAGTACAACAGAATACATATGAATACCTGGTAAAACTTTTCCAGTTATATCACCGCTTCAGAATCATAATAAGAAATTGATAATGGTCGCCGCACCCGTGAAGGTCCGGGTTAGAATGAACCTTCAGTAACCTATGCTTGTCGTAATACGGGATCAGGTGGTCAGGCTCGCTGGCTTGGTTGACACATGCAGTTGATGACTGGATTGTCTGGTTCAGACTCGTTTATTTACAGACCGCCGCCATATAGGTAGAATATTGATGAGTGCAGCTTAAAACTAAACTCACTCACTCACTACCTCACTTGTGGTCGCCGCGGCTAATCGTGTGGCGGTGTATGGTCCTGTGCATAGAGTTCAGGTCACAAATCAGTTGAAGTTAAGCAACGTTGGGCGCGGAGAGGGCTTGGATGGGTGACTGTGTTTGACAGCTTGACCCCTGAGAGTTTCTTGGACTTCAGTCCAGCCCCACAACGAAGCACATATGCAACATGCGGTCTCACCTTAACCACCTGAGTTTGTTCAAAACTGCCTCTGTTCACCCAGCAGTAAATGGGTATCCGGATGGATAAGTCATGCAATAATTAACCTTCTAGCGCCTCACAGGCAGCTTTGGTTATCCGGGGTTATAATAATAGCGCTATTCACCCTGGAATGGCGCTATAAAGTGGAATATTATAACATTGTCATAATCGCTTTCTATGCGTGCAAGAGCATTTGAAAATATTTGCATGCGAATGGCAACGGGACTGAAGCCTAAAGTATTCACAATTACGTGATTCTTACTGTGAATCAATTATCATAAATTGGACAATTGGAATCCAAATATGTTTCAAATTCATGGTTGAATGATGATTAATTATTAATGTTTACTATATAGTGTTGATACTAAAACAACACGAGTTCGCTGCATGTAAAGCAAAATAGTAAGTCTGAAACTATAATTTTACAAAGTCGATAACATAGTATTTAACAATGGCAATTCTTTGAATACTATTATTTTTGTTTACAGGTTCATTTTTGTAGCGGTAGCCCTGATTGAATTCGCATTTATATTGATCGCGATGAAAGCATATAAAGATGGATTTACTGGTAAAGAACAAGCGGTTGGGGTACTATATGTATTTCCAAATGGACAAACCAGCCGCCCTTTGGGATCAACAAGTCTAAACAATGGCACAATGCAAACCCACATACCTCTCCAAACTGATCGTGACAAGACATCTTCCTCTGGAAACACTAGTCGGGAGGTCCAACATGTGTTCTTTCTGAAAGTCCACAAGGCTGCCAGCTCAACGATACTGAACATCATCTACAGATTCGGCTACACCAGATCAAAGAACTTCGCTCTACCCCGAAAAAGAAATTACATAGACCTGGTCGACCGCGGTAACGTCATACCTATCCCACCAAATAATTCTTATGATATTCTATGCAATCATCTCCAGGTGTTCTCTTATCCCAAGGTAGCCAGGATAATGCCACAAGACACTGTGTATATTGCCATCGTCAGAGAACCTTTTGAAAGACTTCATTCATCGTTTGAATACTACCGTAATGAACTCCATCGTGGATATCTTATGAAAGCTACAGGAACTGACCCTTTCAGGCGGTACATCCAAAATCCAATGTCCTTTGAACCTCTCAATCCTATCGATTCCTTCACTAACAATCGAATGGCTTTAGATTTCGGCTATCCGTCAGGTAATATCAACGGCGCAAAAAATGTACAGAAGTTTCTTGACCATGTTGATTCAATATTCGACTTGGTGTTAGTCAGTGATGTTTTTGATGAATCTATAATCCTCCTACGACGCAGAATGAAATGGACCATGAAAGACGTATTGTACATTCCTAAAAATGTACGCGTGTCACCATTAAACATTTCGTTCCAGGATTATAACAGAAGCGTTGTTGATTCTAACATTCTCAGACTCGACATAATCCTGTACGACCATTTCCTAGGAAAGTTGAAAAGGGAGATCTCAAAAGCGGGAGAAACGTTTGTGGAGGAAGTGGCTTATTTTCAAACAGTCCGTCACCGCACACAGAAGTACTGCTCGAAAACTGCACCTCCAATGAACCTCAAGTTCCCAGCATGTAAATGGCACGGCCGCTTTGAAGTCTCCAGTAAGGACTGTTGGCTCCTTGTTCAAGAAGAAACTCCTTTTTTAGAATTATTACGAAATGTGCAAAAAGATAGATTAGGATTGCCTTCCCAGGAGCTGCCTAAACTATATGATGCTAAAAAGATGAGGCTGTTTGGAAAAAGAGGATAGACTGTTTTCATATTGTGTTAAGCTTCAAAGTCACCACAGTGTCGAATCCTGGTTAGGAACTGTCCTAGTTACCTACGGAGTCGACCCATGAGTCTGTGACTTGGCTGATTACGCATGATCGTAGGTGGGCGTTGCTCTTTATATCAGTCACTGGTTTGAGACTCGATTATTTGAAAGCTGTCGTGATGAAGCTGGACTGTCGCTGACTGCGGTATAAAACAATGGACAGACGAATATTTCCATTTGTGTTTCTTTTGTGTCGGTTATACATCTACCATATTCAGTATTATATTTTCTCAATTTAGGGATAATAACGCTGCCACAGATCTGTTTACTCAAAGTAAACTTTCTGGAAAGTATTAGCAAAAGTACATATATCAAACAGAAATATATTATATCAAAAGCATAATTTCGTGTATATACACTGCAAAAGTAAGTAAGGCATCTTCAATGGTGGTATTTTTATGCAGCTATGTGCCGTCATCACTACAAAAGAATATTCAAGAACATTCATGTGTCTTAAAGTGTTTTATCATTATAAATGTATTTTGTTATAAATTTTACCAGAATTAGGCCAGGGAATAAAGTAATGTTCATTATTAATTAGATTTGGTGTTATCACAATCAAACAAATATAACTAGAACACGATAAAGTACCTCGGACAAATGCTACTCGTGTACTTTCGGTAGTGCGTCTAAGAACACTGAGTTTCCAATTTTCACAATGATTTTAGAATGAATAATATATGCATAATGACTGTATGAATAAAGAACACCTTTGGAAGTTACATTATGGAATTTGCTAGTTAGAATGGATTGTCAATTGTATTTTATTTTAAAAAAAACTACACTATGATAGACAATATATAATTATCGTGGACCAATGGCATATGGTTGAGATTGTTACCATATATACATTGTGTGCCACAAAGAACACATTACACTACATGTATTAGTAAAAATATCTAGTCTCCATCTAAAGTTCCTGCTGTTTGTCAAACAGTAAATGACGATTGAATTATTGTTACAGCAAGTTCTTCGACAATGCAACCGAAGTAAAGAGATCGTGATATTTCAGAAGGTTCTTGAAGCTAAAATTGTGTAACTGGCCCTCCAGTCTTCCCATATGCAAGCCACAGGCAAAATTGCTTATTCTTGTTCCTTCACTACGTTGAACCGGAAGCTGGCGGGGAAGGAACAAGAATGGACACAAATATCATATTGATAATTTTTACCGTTAAACTGTTGGGGATCTGCCGTCCTTATTGTTAGAATTTTGACATGGCGTGAGGGGTAAATGAAAGCAGATTTAAATTTAAGTCCCCTGTTCACAATCCGTTGAACCGGAAGCTGGCAGGGGTAATGGAGGCGAAGAACGATGACATGAATTTAAAATGTTGAATTAAATATATTGTACGTGAGTAATTTTTAAATATGAGGTTGGAAATCTGAGAGCACAACTCTGTGAGGAAATGAGTGTCTACCTTTGATGATGGCGATATTATATTTTAATATTAAAAATAGTTTGCGAACCGATGCGAGGGAAGCACGTTGCCGACCTTTGCTCGCTTCGCTCGCATATGGAAAGACTGGTCATTTTCTCTTTGTTGCGCAACCCTATTTGCGCTACAATTTGCCTGTGCTCCACCCAGCCAGGACTCATGGCAGTTAAGAGCGGCCATATTGCAAGTCTGATTTAGCCGTCCTGTCTCTAGGATATCGGTTATTATTTCCGTCCTTATCATCTCCTACCCACCCCAAATTTTCGTTAGGGCGTGATATATACTCATGCCAATAATGGTTGTCACCCCCTTCAATATTTTGTATTGGAGAAGGGGTGCGGGGTGTGGGGTGTGTGTGGGGTTGGGGTGGGGAGGGGGTGATAACCATTATTGGCATGAGTATATTACAAAGTCCTCTGATCACCGATTTGCACTGCCTCTGTAAAAACCCATGCCCTCGTGTCATTGCAACTACTCTGACCCTTTCACAAACAACGAAACAGGTCATCATTATCTTTCTTCTATAACTATTAGGAGTTAGTCTTCGAAGCAACCCACTCGATCTGCATCTTGAAGTAATTAAAATTCTTTTACATATTGATTTTCCACAATTAGTGAAAAACGGCTTTAAAAATGCATTTAATCAGTTTATCATTCATTCACTCACTAATTCATTCATTCATGCTGCTTACTAGCAGTCGGCTCTTGAACATATCAGTGTTGTTATAGTTTAATAGTATATATTTACAGATATGAGCCTATATTGTAAGGAAATAAGTATTATCATGTTCCGAACTTTTTCCATAACGTGGCGAAGAGCAAGTTGTTGTGGAGATTTTGAAGAAAGCTAGGTTTCGGTTCAGTTGGAACATTTGACATTTCATATTGACTACTTACTTCTGTGTGCCCATAAGTTTCCTCATTTTGTCAGTGTTTCATGTTCGTGTTTTTGCATTCTGCCTCCTCTAATGGCGATATTCACTGCTTGAGAGAAATTGGTCTGAAATTGTAAACATGTATAAATATGGGAAGTTGCCTGTTATTAATTTTGGTGTTATGACATTTTCTAATTGTAAATAATACTGTAATGATGAAATGTATATAAAGAAACTGCTTCTAAATTTGTCCTTAGAATGGCTGAAACAATGCCCTAGCGAGAGAAAGGTTTCCCTCACTCACTCCAGTAATTCATGGGATGTGGTGTAGCCTAGTGGTCACACCGAAGACCCGGGTTCGATTCCCCACATGGGTACAATGTGTGAAGCCCATTTCTGATGTCCCATGCCGCGATAATCATGGAATATTGCTAAAAGCGGCGTAAAACCATACTCACTCACTCACTACTTGCAAGAGACAAGGAAAGATTCGTTTGGCTCCTCATTTTTGAACTTTAAAAAAAAAGATATTTACGTTTTCGTTTTCAAAATGAACAGGGTGTGTACATTCTTATATTTCATTGTGCTTTGGTGTTTAAAGTTAAGCGGAGTATTGCCGTGTATCCGTAAGTTTGAAATCGAATAAAACGTTCTTTCGTTAAAATGAAATATAATTGTCAGGTTTGACGTGTTTGCATATATCCCGTGTTCAAATCTTTACTTAATTAGGGACATATTTATAAGGTGATAAGACCCAATAAAGTCAATTAGTTTCAATGCGTGCATTCTCAGTACTCAAGAGGTTATATTGAACTAAGCTTTCAAGAAAACAGAAAGCCTAGTTGCCCATCGTAATTAAGACATGGAACAATATTATTTCACTATTACCGAAGCTGGAAAGTAACTTCCCGTTATCTTGTTGACAATATGCAAACAATGACCAGTTAGAGATAAGATAGAACTGAATGTAAACAATAATTGATTTATGTCGTTTTTAGCTTTGAGATGCGTAAAACCAACATGTTGATGCTGAATACACAATGACGTGGCGGTATGTTGATGTCGGCAACGTTCAGTATTCTCCAGAAATAAACAGTAAATATGTGTAATAAGCTTTCTGTGACGTAGACAAATCGGTAACGATGTACACGAACCAAATCACCTTCAGTGTTCAAAGTGTAGTTTGCTTTCATTGACAATACACAAGGATAACAGTAAATGTGTAAATGATGTAATTGATTAAGACAACTCACACGAACGAGATAGGTAAAGAAAGTTATATCAGGATGTGATGTATTGTTTCTTAGTTCAGTCAAAGGCTGAAGGAATGATCATTACTCACTAAGATGAAAAAATCAATTATTAATATAATTTGCTATGGTAGAATCAAAGCATTGTGCGTGGTTAATTGACAGTGAGTGCGTGAACGTTAAAGCCGCTATCAACGCTATTCCAGTTATAGTGAATGATGAGTTTAGTTTTTCCGCCGCACTCAGCAATATTCCAGCTATATGGTGGCAGTCTGTAAATAATCGAGTCTGGACCAGACAATCCAGTGATCAACAGCATGAGCATCGATCTACGCAATTGGGAACCGATGACATGTGTCAACTCGTCAGCGAGCCTGACCATCCGATCCCGTTAGTCGCCTCTTACGACAAGCATGGGCCGGGTTACTGAAGTTCAATATTCTAACACGGATCTTCACGGGTATATTCCAGTTGTGGGGCTCGTAAGTTGGTCAGTGCTTCGCGAGACATTAGTACTTCCGGTTACTAAGAATGTTTCATACCTTCTCGAATGGTCTCATGGTTGCCGGTTAACAGTAAGAAACCGAAAATCTTTGCAGGAATAACAAATTTTCGATCTAACCCAAAATTAGCCAATTATTAGACTGTCAACAGCTGTGACAGGCAAGCATGGTTTCACACTTGGTCCAGTCTAGTAAAGTAATATTTGGCGGTCGCGCAATTCGGAACCAGAACTGGTTCTTGAATATACGCTTGTTACCGGAACGTTAACGTCAATTCATTCAAAAACGTGTTCTCATTCAATGACATAATCAGTTGCCCGCTCTCATCCTCGCTTTCCTCCTTTTCCTTCGTCGATGAAGTTTCTTTATCTGCCGGATCATAGTCCCAAAGTCCAGAATTAAAATCACGACAACAAGCGACATGATAATGCCGATCCCCAACGTCCCGACAAAGATGGCTGACGGCCTGGCGTCATAGGCGCTACTGCTCTTCCGTCTCGTGCTTGACAAGCTTCTGATGTCGAGTCTCAGAGCTTCAAATGTGGTGTTCGTGTCGTTCGAGGACGTGTGTATCCACTGCATGCATGACATGGGCGACACTGTGGAACACATAAGATAACGAGTCACTTTTTATTAGTCCAGAAACTATGCAATATGGCTAGTTTCTGACAATGGATTTGACAAAATTTGTATATATGATTAGGATGAAAACTTGAAATTTGATTTTCGAAAACTCAAAATTTAAACTACTTTATCAAAATACATGTTTTTTGCATGTTTTGGAGGTTGTAAATGTTGAAAGTATGTTTATTAGTATCATTTTGACTTAATTCTATTGAATTAGTAATTCTGGACCAGAACATTTTCTTC